ATTCGAACCTCTGCACTAGCCTCAATGTCTTCATCATTCCCATCTTTGTCATCCAGCTCAGCAATTATTACTTTCTCAAACTCTTCTTCTTCGTCTTCATCATCAGAGGCATCTGTACGATCATTGCCAGACATTTCTTCATATTCACGAATTGGGCTTTGTTGCATTATTGGTTGATGGACTTCATCTTGTTCACCCAACTCAATTCCCGCCTCACTCATTTTAAATTCTGACTTAGTGAATTATTGGTTGAATACCCACCATATGTTGCGGAGTCAAGTATTTGGTGGGTGTATGAGTACTGCCTAAACTCATCCATTACTTGCATCCCCACAAGAGTTGAATATTCACATGTCAACCCCAAAGTTGGAAATGTCGAGATACCCATCTCTTGCCTAAGCAACTCAGTGTAAAACATGATAGTGGCTGTTAGGCATCCTCTAGTCTGACTATCTCCTATGCCCGCATTGATGTTTTATGTCTCCACGTACAAAGTTACACTAGCAATGCTGGGGTTGTCAGGTACCACATTAACCACAGAAGTCACAAGTTCATCGTTCACAATTTCTAGACCGACATATGTATTCATGTTTGGTCTTGTTTCAAGTGTAAAAGGATATCTATATGTCAACTTCAACTTATTATGCGCTCTGTTAAACCCTATTATAGTGTAAATTTTACTCAACAACTTTGGCAATTGTGTGCCACTATTAATAACAATTTCACCTTTGGGAGAACAATTGTATGATAAACCATCTGATCCATATTCCATTTGTCCACCTCAATATAGCAAAATGGTTACTTATTTTCCCACCATTTTAATTTCTTTTCGTTGTGGAATAAGTTCTGAATTCACAAGAACCCGGGGATGGATAGAAATGGTTAATACTTGAGGAAAAACATATCCATAGTTAATCAAAGTCCCATTTGAATCTACGACATGTGACCTAGATGCCTTGATAAAATAAGAAACCTACGAGGATGAAGTGTATTGGTAGGAAACTAAGAAAGATGGAGATCCAACCATTATATTGATGTTTGAAAAAATAATCCCCAAAAAGGGCATCTCTTAACATGTTATGAAGCTGCCATGTGGATTGTGAGCTAGGATATAGAACATCTTAACATCTCCTACTACCTTCTTACTCATTAGAATTCAAATAAAAGAGTCTCTATTCACCTCGATTTGCACTAATGTACAAACTATAAAAAAAAATAACATTTTCATTTCGCCTATCCCAAAAGTATCCTATTCATACCCACAAAAACCCAAGATAGGTTGTCTGTGACTGTTTAACAAGAATAATCCCCAAATATTGTTCATTAGCAAAGTCATTAATAAATATTCATCTCTCACAGAAATAAAATTTAGCAGAGAATTTTTATTAAATTAAATAAAATTAACAAAGAATTTAAATTTATAATTAACAATTAATTATAAACTAATAACACAATTAAAATTAATTTAATTGAAACACATAAACAAAATAATTGTATAGTAATATACTCAGGGAGTGAGACACATACTGGAGGAGAGGAGAAGCGTGGTGGAGGTGGTGTTTGTAGGTGGTGGTGTTCGCTGTGCTGGTGGAGATGTCACCTGAAGGAGGTGGTGCTGGTGATTTGCAGTCTGAAAAAGGAGTTTGGGAACTCGAATTAGGGCTCAGACAAAATGGGGGGATACTGGTGGAGATGTCGCCTGAAGGAGGTGGTGCTGGTGATTTGTCGTTGTGGGGTTTCGAATGGTGATGGTGGTGTTGTTGTGGCTGTGGGCTAGTGTGATGGTGGTGCTGGTGGTGGTTTCGAATGGTGGTGTTAGGGATGTGGGCTGCAACTGGTCGTCTGGAATGGAGTGTTGAATTCGAATTTGGGGAAAAAATTGGGGAATGAAGAGAGAAGGGAAAAAAGAAGAGAAAAGATTTAGGGAAAAAGATAAAAAAAAACTTTGGTTGAACTAACGTTTTTTGAATTAAAAACGTCAGTCAAACCAACATTTATGTGAGTTTTTTTAAAAAAATTACATCTCTTAAAACGTTGGTTCAAATGACGTTTTTAAACGTCAGTCCAACTAACGTCTTTTAATCTTAAAATATCATTCCAACTGACGTTTTTAAAAATGTCTAAATTTAAAAAATATTTTGAAAACAATCCTCTTTTGGATATACTTTTTAAAAATCCCATGGATTAGGCTAAAAGCTCTGGTCGAATGTGGTAGACTGCTAAGCAACTACATTAGCTGAGGGAGGAATCCTCCACCTGTAGTAGTGGCAAACCGGCCAATTTGACGAATTTTTTAGACGGGTCAATATTGATGGGTGTTATTCAATTTTTAATCATTTTCAATCCGTTTAATAGACGAGTTAAAATGGATTTAATAAAGCCACTTACTCGTAAATAAATAATGAATACAATCACTAGCATTATGTACTCCAACTATAACTAGACAATGTCACAGCCTTAATAGTAAGCAAGTCTATTAGTACACAACACTCGTTTATAAAAAGCGAATAACTTATTTTACTGACGAGATGTAGATCCCATCAGATCCATATCAATTTTTTTTAATGGATCAAGAATAGATAGTTGTTTCATCAATATATAAAAATAGGAGATTTTTCCTAATTCTTGATAGATTCTCTTTCTATCTCTTTCAATCTATCAGCACATATCAAAGTATTTATTAATTAGTTTGAAATTGTCATCCCGACCACTACCACCACCTTTGTAACTGCCATCACCATCATCACCACTGTCACAATGCATGACCACCATAGTTGAAAACAAACCAGTTGGTTGATGGGTTATCCCTACGTACGCATATGGAACTTTATGGGATTCATATGAAATGGTCTTTATATTCACATGCACCCAAAAAAAAATGATATTTTTTAAATTAAATATATCTTATACAAGTGATGCTCTACTTCCTCTTATTCCTTTTCTAAGGTATATGGGCCGTGGGCACATTGAACAGTCAGCCTCAAAATGTACCCATTCCTAGGGTTTGCCAGATTGCAATCAATCATATACACATACCTGTGCAGTTTCACTTGATAAACCCTGCAACGTTATGACAAATCTCTGTCCTCTTGAATCCTACGACGGTCCATAACTCTGTATAGTCATATTGATTATAATGTGTGGGGTACCATCTGTGTAGCATTCAGATCCAGTTGTAAGGTTTAATGCCCTATCCAAATCGTCAACTGAGTGGTTGCCAGGTGTCAGAGTGATGGTGGCATTGTCCGCCATTGTTTGTGACGGTTGGTGAATTCATTAAGGTGGAGTGGAGAAGAGACCAGCTTAGTGTGGTGTGGAGTCCAATAAAAAAAGTTCAAATGATCACTTGAAGAAGGAACGCTCATGAAGAAGTCAGCAATATTTATTTAGTTTACTTGTAGTATTACAGCTATTTTCTCCTTCGTAGGCGTCGTGTTCTGTCACTCTCTTTACGGCCTCGGTGTTCATACATCAATTTCCTAGGCCTCACTTGTAGATCAAGCAAAGATTTATGAGTTTGACTGCACACGTTAATGGACCAACCAACCAACTTGCCCTCCAAGTCTCTCTCTCTCTCTCTCTCTCTCTCTCTCTCTCTCTCTCTCTCTCTCTCTCTTGATGGAGAAAATATTCAATAATGCAACCAATAATAAAATGTCAAGGGGGATAAAATGAATTCTAATTGGATAATTATATGTTTATACGGAACATGAGTGAGTAGTTATTTATTTATATGGAGGATTGATTATTAATTTTTGTAAGATATATTTATTTATTTGTTTTTATATTATTGATTGATAATATCATGTCAATATTGTCACATGATATCACCGTTATAATCGATATTTATTCCTAAAGATTAAAGATGCACCATGCATGCCAAAATATGGCTAAGAAAAAAAAAACATCAAAGAATCGGGTGCTTTTGGAATAACAGCAATGATGAACGTAAAGGGAGAGAGCAGGGTGAAAATGCCTTTTGTATAGCTGAAGCTTTAGTTTTACTGGGACTAACCCATGCCTATAACATAAAGGGAGAAAAAATAGATTAGGGGAGGAGAATTCAATGTAAATGATTTTGAGAAGGAAGTTGATGGTTATTGGATGAGTTTATTTGAAATTATTGGATGAATTTATTAAACCTTGTGTTATTTTATATTATAAATTAGCATTATATATATAAGCAATAATCCTGTGTCAGAAGGATTTTTGTAATATTAAACATTGAGTATTAATTGTGCAATACTTGTACATTAAATATAAATTTATTTTTTTTCTTTTTTTAATAATACAATTTAAAATTAAAGTGATTGGAGAGAAAATAATAGAGACGTAAGAGAGAGAAAAGAGACAGGTAAATGTGGATTAATGAGTTGATTGAGTTATCTGATATTGAGGAACATGCAAAAAATAATAATATTTTTGACGAGGAAAAAAAAATTGATAGAAATTTTATACTATTGAATCAAAATAGATAAAAATTGAATCAATTTTAATTATTATTGTGCTTTTACAAGTTGAGAATTCAAGGAAGATTTGAATGTTGTATGGTAATATTATATATGGATAATTGCTCCCAAAAATTATTTGTGAATTTTCTGATTCCCTCCTCACCTCAAAAGAAAATGGTTTTTCCTAACCCCAATGATAACTCAAGTGATAATAGGGACAAATTGACAACTCCTTGAGATCATATCATATGAATATCCTAATATTGTGGATGACCTACCATTAATCGGATCGAAGAGAGAATTAATCGAAGTATACGTGAATTGACCTGAATACTCATTAATGTTGAAACAAAAGAAAAAAAAAGAAAAATGGTTTTCCCCATATAGAGAGATAAACACCATAAACCGTAGTATATTCCCTATTCCATTTTCCAAATTTACACAACTCCCTATAATTAATGGATCGTCTGTTAGATTGAAAAAAGAAAAATAAAAAGAATAACCCAAGCTCAATGAATGATCTTGAGGGCAAACCCAATTCACCCAAACAAGGGAAAAAAAAAAAAAAAATCACCCCATGTACCTACTTCCCTTTAGGGACATCTTGCATTTCTTCCGGGTCCTCCATAATAAAAATAATTCCCCCAAACCCGATTAATTCCTCCTTGAATATCGTAGCAATTCGGGTGATCCGCTAAAACCCGGAGGTTTGATAATGGAATTAAGCTATTATCCCAATCCACAACCTGCAAATTTCGAAAATAAGCTGCTTTTCCAAAACCTTCTCCTGCAAAATGCCCACTACCCATTTGGGTCGGAGTGTGGGAACCCGATTGATGACTATTCACAATTTCGCCTCCAAATTGCACCATGCTTGCATGATTCCTTAGGTGAGTAAATAAGAAAGATGGCCAATACCCGACTAGAATTCCGGATCCAAATTCTAGCCACCAATTTCCATGCTTCGGATCCTACAAAACGATGTAATTATATCGTTATTAATGTTTTTTCATGGTCACACATTAAATGTGACCCATGTGCATGGTAGGAAGAAGTCAAAAAATGTGGGTAGAGTAGAAATGAATCCCCATTGAGCTTAATTTTATCCAGCTGAACTTTTCAAGTTTGATTAGGTTTACGTTTGACTGGTGTTATTTAAGAATTGTTCATATTCGGTTTGAAATTGTCTCCCGAACTCAAAATATTATTTAAGTTTTGCTCAAACCAAATTCGAACTGAGCTCGAGGAAAAAACAAGTCATTTAGAAAAAAATTTAATTCACAAATTTCAAATATTCAATCAAAAAATTTCAAAAAAAATGCAAATAAATCTAAATTTTAACACAAATTGAGCATAAAATACCTTTAAATCACAACAAAACATAGAAACTTTAATTTATATGTATAACATACAAACTTAAATTTTTTGCTAATTTTATTGAAATAACCTTAAAATCTGTAATAATTTATATGTATATTATGTACAAGTAAGAGAAACAAACCGACTTGCAAATAGCCCGGGTTCGGCTCGACTCGGCTCTAATACTAAAGAAGCTTAAAAAATTGTTAAAATTTGGCCCATTTTATAATATGAGCGAGCCCAAGCTAAGCTAAAATTGAGCCGTCCAAATCGTTTAACTTCCCTAGTTATATATACTTTGATGATCTAGCCTAATAAGGAAAAAGAAACTGCTAGAAGACTTGTCTGAATTGAACTCCGTCTAATAAGGGTTAAACTCCTAACCTATCAGATATGAGTGCAGCCCGAACTTATAGGCCTTAAGATTTTATAGTAAATCATTGATCATATATTAATCAAGAATCCATTTCAATACGATGGGTTTTATATAAATTCATGAACTTATGACTGAGAGAATTGATTGGAATTAATATTACACTAAATGTGGATCTATTCATGTACTCTTTTGCTTGAGAAAGAAGAGTCAATGAATCTTACAAAATAGAAAACCATATGAAAATTATGGTCATCCTAGGCAAGTGGTTCACATGTATCTTTTGGTTGAAGTAGTAATTGTGATCAGTGGGGTATGAGACCACATCTACCTGGTTCAGGGCCCACCAATTAGATTTGAAGTTTTTATGTTACCAGTTTATGATGTCATGGGATCAATGGCCCAGATTCATACCTTATTTCTGTGGGACCCCCTAAACCTTGACTTCCTATCCAATTTTATAACCAATTCCTATACAGAAAGAAAGTGTCCATGAATGGACATGAATAATACAGACCTAACTCTACCCATTAACCGTAAAAACGGTCCATGACACATAATAGAAGATCAACCTTACTCTACAAGCTCTTAGACATTATTTCCAAGAAAGTGTGCAAGGCAAGAAATAGGAGTCAAAAACATTATAACTCAGGAAATCATTTTATTTCTCAGCCAAGTTTAGGAAAGCGAGAACAGGATTACTTATCACTTAATTCCCTGACACGTAATTATGGGTAGAAACTTTGCGTATTAGTACGACTTTTTTTATAATATTTTGTGCTTTAACAAAAGAAGATTTTGGAGATGTCAACAAAGTTGTAATGCATTTTTGGTTAAGCTTAAAATTTACCTTCCAAACTAATAAGCTGATATCAAACTGTCCACCATTGTATGATGAAGTGGGAGATATTGCAGCCCCAATTGCTACTCTGTTGTTTGTCTGAACAAAGCCTGAGCATAGCAAATTATAACATCCAGTGGCTTGATATGCATCAGTCTGCACATTGTTAGAACATGATAAATGTTTTTTTAATTAAAATTAAATATATTTCAGATGGGTATTTGATGATACGGGTTTCAAATCCTCTCCATTTTATTTTCTCTTTAATTCACTCAATGGATACCATTGCGTGAATTTGAGTGAAGTGTAATGGAGAGAATCCGGCTCGGGATGAAAAGGGCTAGAAAACATAAAAATTTGACTTACTGTCCAATATGTGAAGAACCTAGGATAGTTGTCCCCATACAGCTCAGGACTAACCTGTTCAAAGTAAATGAATTAGCATCTAAGGCTACATCTACACAAAGTTCATTCAATATAAGAGGTAGTTGAGATGCAATTGCTGCTTTAAATTGACATTATTGCATTGTTTGTTGATGTCTACAAATGCTACATTGTAACCACTGAAACCGCGTTTTTCGAGGGTGATACCAAAGATAAAAGTTCCCAAAATTAGAAAAGGTAATTTTCATTATGTAGTAACCTACTTGTTTCAACCTTTTCATTTCCATGAAAATCAAATTAAATTGTTGATTGAATATTGAAATATCTATGTTTTAAGGTATTTTAATCAACGTTTTTGTCTTTTAAATGCTCGAAACAACGCACTGAAACAAAATTTTAATCCTTTGATCGAAATATTGAAATAACTTAGGTCTGTGGGATGAAATTGACAGGAGAAAACTATAAACATGCCTGCCAACCAGCTTCAATGGTGTTAAGATCATCACCAAATGAACCAGAGATGACCCACATCTGTGATAAGCTGAATTCGTACTGATTAGCCACTCGTGGTGACCACACATTTATGCTGCCTTTTGCTCCATAGTATTGATCTCCAGTTACATACCCAACTGCATGCTGTAAATCAAAACAAGCCAAAAAAATTAAAATTGTTTTTCTTTTTCTTTTTTCTTTTTTGTTGATTATACTGTATGTAAGTATCAAATTCAGAAAAACAAATGCCCTGGTTTGTATATCAGAATCTGTTTTCTATTTTCGAAAACAGTTTATAGGAGAAAAATTGTTTGGCTAGTTGTTTGGAAGAACAGCAATAAATTCACTTCAAATTCATGTAGAAACCCAAAAAACAAATGGGATGAGAAAGAAAATATGTTTGAATCCTGACTTTTGTTTCTTTCATCTTCAAGTTCATTAACTCAGGGAAAGAAAAGTTTTTTTGAAGAACAGCAAATCATATGAATTCACTTTCAAAATTCATGGAGAAATCAAAATGAAAATAAGATGAAAAAAATAAAAAAAAATGTTTCTTTCTTCATCAAGTTCATTTCAACAGTTTTAAGACCTCCTGACTTTCTCTCATCAGTGTTTTTTTTTTGGAGTTGTTTTGCTGTGTCTTTAAGTTGTAGAGTTCAAGGACTAACCTCATGGCCATTGCTAGAAGAGTCTCGTCGAATGGGTCTTCTTATTTTCCTCCCAAATCTTCTCATAGAACTTGCTCTCAGAACATCTTGTTCAGTTGTTCTTCTGATTGGAATTGTTCCCTCTGGACATGATTCACCGGAGATGCTCCACATCTGAAAATTTTCCGATACCATGCCAGTTGGGTTATGGCCTTTTGGTCTCACTGGTGGATCCTACAAATTCATAAAAAAAAATTCCAAAGTTATGATATATTAATTTCGCTAGCAAAACCCCCACCCCAGAAGAGCATCAAAACCAAAATTTAATTGAATTAAAACTTATAACAAAATTCAGCTACCAATGGCTTTTGTCCCTTTAATTGAGGATGATCAAAAGCTGGTTGTTGATGGGATAAAACACAATCTATCAGATCACCATCTGGACTCTGCACCAAGAAACAATAAATTAAGAACATTACAACCCCTATAAGCCAACAAAAACACCTCAAAAACAGGACAAAACAGGGTAAAAACAGGGGAAGAGAAATATAAAATTTTCATGAGAAGTGTTTGAGACTAGAAAAATGCCTGAATTGTCCTGAGAGCAGGCTTATTGATCTTCATGAGATGAGCTCTAATCATTTTCAACTTCTGTAATTCTTCTCCTGGCCGGAAAGTCTGATTTGCTTGATGGTGATTGTCAGATTCTGCTGACAGGACCGGACAAATGGAAGAACTAAGAAAGAGAAAGAAAACAAAAATCGAAATGATTGGGGAGATCTTGCAAGAACTAGAATCCACTTTAATGGAATTTGTGTGTTGTGTTTCTTCTAACAAAACTGTTTCTGTTTGTGTACATTTGTGTTGTCTTCTTCTGCCATCGAAGTAACTCCAATTATTTTCAGTATTTGCCCTTAGTAGCACACCTCCCACCATATCCATCCAACACAGTATAACCATTCTATGAAACCCAAATCACTCTCCCACCATTTCCAATGCTTCAAAACCCCAAAATAACAAAACCCTTCTATTCTCTATCTCTCTCCCCCTCTCTCTTAGCTTCTATTCCTTGGTTTTATGTTCTGACAGCTACAACTTCCAGGCATGAGCTAATAAACTACACACTAATTGGGTTGTGTGTTTTCTAGAGTTTTACCCATGTGGGTGTGGGGAAATAAATACTGGGTTGTGATCAAGACATGCAGGGTTTTTTTAAAATTTTGAAAGGAAGAAATATGAGAAGAGAGAGAAAGAGATAGGAGAGAGAAGAGTGTGGGGGTTGTGTTTCCAGTCTCCAATACAAAGACTGAAACTTTAGCTTTTTTGTGTCAATTTTATAGGCCATAATGGTTTCTGATTTCTGTTATTCTTTACTTTGGCTCTCAAGACAGATAGGAATTACAATTGATTCTGGGTTTCCAAAGTTCTTTGCTTTGTGTGTTCCCTTTCTCACTTCCCTAGATGTTCTTTGTGTCAGAAGCCTTGTTTTCTAATTACCTCCCATTTCATCTACATTCCAAATTAATTAACAATAATAATAATAATAATAAAAAGATAGGAGGTTACCTACTTTAATATAATTAATATAAGGATTATGGGATTGGATTAATGGATAATTTTGACAAAAGGAATGAAGTTTTTTTAGTTATTCCAAGGAAATTGGGATTTTCTTGCTGACCCCATCTTTTTAAGCTGTCGTTTTCTGTGATTAATCTGTGATTTCTTAATGGTGTTGTGTTGGGGCTGCTGTGCTGGCCATGCGCACCTGGTTATGTGCAACTGCTTGCATGCTTATTCAAGCACTCCCATGCTTGAGCATGCGCAAGTAGGATTGCTTCTGTTTGGAGGCCAAAACTCTTCTAAATTGTATTTTTAACCCAAAGTATCAAACAATTGCTGAGTCAGAATCAATCCGTCCAAAACCGCGAAAAGATTGTGTATCAATTACTTCTTCTAAATCCAATTATAAATAAATGCAATTCCACTTTTTTTATGTGGTTATTATATTTTCTACTACTACTATAGACTCATGCAATAGTTATCCTCATATATTTGATATATGATAACATTTGTTCCAACTTTGATAGAAATAGTTTTTCTACACGTGAGAGTAAGATTGTGTATATCTAATTTTATTGAAACTCCGTCCATAGTAACAACAGATTCATGTACTAAGTTGTGCTTTATTGTTATTGTGTTCTTTGGTTCTTTAGATAATACATTAGTTTAACCACAGATTATGTGTTTTAATAGAACCTATCCTATGAGTGCCTTTCCCTTGTATTCTCTAGTTTCTTTTTAGGGCTCTAATGATGCTTGCCACCTTCCCAGTCCCCTGTAGTCACTTTTGTTCTAAATTCCTGCATTTATATATATATATATATATATATTAAATCAAACCTGTTGTTAATGAGAAATCTACTCAAACAGCCCACATCTTAAACGGGCACAAAGTAGAGGCGGCATTCAAGAACATCGGCTCTCTCTCTCTCTCATATCTTGACTGTCCTATTAAATCACTGTAATATTACGTCGTTCAGATACCGAACTAATATTGAACATTATATAAAGTCGTTTCTCTATACAAATCTATGAACAGTGACCTTAAGAGATTACGTTTCGTACGATATTTGAACCGTTAACCTATACTTTTAACATACTTATTTGCTAATGAAATTAAGAGGTCACCCCACTAAAATCTCATACATCAAAGACATGATTAGAGTACTGCAATTTAGGCACAATTAAGTTATCAGTGATCCATTATTCATCACTTATTTGATTATGCAACCTAATATTCACGATTTTCATAAATTAAATAATTATAAAATGAAGCTAACATGTCGAAAACTTATCTAAATATATCCGTAAGGAATTTAGAAAAAAAAGAGTCAAAAACTAACTCATAACATAACTGCTTTATGCATGAGACCCCCCCCCCCCAAAAAAAAAAAAAAAAAAAAAAAAAAAAAAAATGTTTAAAATGAATAATTAGACAAGTTTTCTTGAATTAGGGGAAGTAATTAAAGTAATAAAAAAATTCCTCTTCAAGCTGATGGTGGAAAAGCTGCTAAAGTCATGGGTTGCTTTTCAAAGGGGGACAACATGTACATATACATTTTTTAGAAAAGAAAAGGCTAGGCCCCGTTTATAATTATAAGCCCACATGACCAATTTGAAAATTTTATAACTACCAAGATAAGTACTAGTAATCAAGTGATCATGCCATGCGCATGTGATTAAATACATACCTAAACTACATCGTATCTGCTTTCACCTTTTTCTTTTTTTTTTTCTCCAAAAATAAATAAATTAAATTATATATGTTCTTCCTAGTCATTAACCTTCTTTAAATTTTTACCACACGTTTATATCTACAGAAGTTGCTTTATTTATTACTCAGGAAATTATACTGTTATTGCAAAATAGTGGAATTGAAGAATTGCATAATTATAATAGAACCCCTCCTGATTATTTCTGGTACATTTTTTTTTTAATATTTCAGTTGTTCCAGTAGATCATTGCAGTATTCTTTGCCGACGTACTTGATTAATATTGGATCTTGTACAAAACCATCTATCCACACGAGGGATAAATTTGTGAGCAGCGGTCTCAAGGGAATTTACTTCGTGAGATATTCAAATCTTTAATCTATCCCGTACACTTGTTGTAATGAAGGTTAGGGTTGTATCTTTTTCGAAATTTAAAAATTAAAATGTGTAATAACTTTCGATTTAACTAACTAATAAAACACAATAAAAAAAAAGGAATCGTGATGACCATAAATGTTTGAGATGAGACTTTATTGGGTTATGTCGATGAATGATGAAAAAACCTAGAGCTGTGACCATGAATGATCCTGTTGAAGTGACCATGTCTGATGCTATCTTCATAACATATAGACATGTTTCGCTTTTTCATATGTTAGAGAGAAGAAAAGCTGAAACAATCTGTCTAAAAGAAGACCACAAAAAAAAAAAAACAAAATGAGGATGATGTCTCGTATGTATTGTAGGTACTCAGAATCATAAACACCCCCAACATTCACTGCAGTGTTTGGAGTTTGTTTTGAGCTTGTATTATCCAAAATTTTAACGACCACCCCTGCCCTGTACGACATGAATTTGTCAATTCTTTTTTTCATTTTACTGTCAGAATCTCTCCAAGTAATCAAACTACAAAGAGGAAGATGATCTATGGACTTTATCTAGGAGTGTCGAGTCATGTCGGTTGCATCTTGTCATATTGGTTCGTATCATGTTATGTCAATATCAATGTCACTAAAGAATAATGTTATTAGAATATAAAAAATTGGTATAATTTATTGACATAATGGTATGACATTGACATGATCCAACAGTAGTGGTGTTACGGTAACTTTTAGACTTTTTTATTGAGACTCATCACTTGACACATCATTATATTTTTTAAATCCCAATAGAATTACTCTTGAATAAAAAGTCACTTAATTCAAAAAGTTACCTTACTGAAATGTAAAAACCGTATGTCATTTAGACACTAGATTTTTATTTTGCCTTTTGTTTTTATATTTGTATTGGGTTAATACATAGACATAGAGACTGTTGGATAACACCGCAGCCCAATCACATGACTAACACACTATCATTTTTCATCAAAAATCTAATAGAAGCAAGTAACAGGGCTCAATTGACCAAAAACATTAAAAATTCAGAGATTTAATTAGTACAAGATTCATAATTTTGACCGCGTATATTTTACTCAACTTGTCTTAGTCACTTTAAAGGATTAGTGTCTCTTATATAATTTCGGGATAAAAAGATAATGTGAGGCTAATACCCTGACATAATTACATAGTGAGGGGTGGTCCACATGGTAGGCCCAGCCACCAGCCCATTAGAGGATCTGCCCAGCACTGGACAAAACCCACCAATAAAATCAGCACAAAAAATTTCCAAAAGCTCAGAGAGAAGACCTTACAACAAGAAGAACCAAAAAGATAGCTTTTTTAGGGCTCAATGACTTCTTAGAAAACCCTGAAAATGATAAGAAAAGAAGACCAGTGAGGGAGTGAAAACACCCCACATTTTAGTGGGTGGGTTTGAATTCAAATGCTCCCCAAAGGCATTTTAGAAGAAAACCAGGCCATATCTCATAATGATGGCAGAGTTGTAGTTCATTGACTTGATTTACAGAGCTTTGCTAGTTTTGTTCAACATTTCTAGTCTTCCCATGGACCCTCACTAACCTTTGGCATCATTGTTTGATCCCCACTTTAAGGACCCTTCACTTTAGAAGAGAGTGTAAAATTTAATAGGCACATCCACTTTAAGAATAATGCTATATACTTACCAAATTGATTACTAAAGTTTTCTTACCAAATTATCATGGATTGGTAGATTAAGGGATCCCATTAACTTTTTTTAGTAGGACCCACTAATTTAACCTTCGAATTTAATAAACGTTTTGGTAAGCGTATCTTTACTCCCACTATATAATGGAAAATCTTTATATGTCGTCGTTACGAAAACTATATCTTTTCAAAAAAAAAAAAAGAACTTCTGATGTTTTTAACTGGGAATGGAGATTAGGGAAGTCTCGAATTGGGATCAATTCTCAGGATTTGTGACTATATACTTTCCTCTCTTGTGGTACCTAACAATATTAACAAGACACCTACTATGGGCACAAACTTGAGTAGAGTGGAGGGATTGAAATGTCATTTTCAACTCGAATTATGTTACAAAATTTTTAACTCGAGTTCAACTGAAACCCTACATCAACTCAAACACCTAACTAAAGTATTGTCCACGTCTAAAATTTTAAGCACAGATTGAACTTCAATTGCACAATTCGGATTGACATTCGGGTTTAATTTTAGGCTTACTCAACTTGGACTAAAATTTGAGTTCTTTAGGATTCAACTTGAGTCAGGTCTCAAATAGCTAGATCCCACTATGAGTAATATCTGTATTTAACTTCCATTGTGTTTTTCTTTTTCCCTAACTAGCACCTGAGGATAAGAAATATTAAACATTTCAAGTTGAGCTCGGATTAACCTATCTAACTTGAACCTCTAAATACATGTATCATAAGGAGGAGAGTCAAATTTTCTTTCCACTTTCCTGTCAATTGTTTCGGCTTCTCGGCAAAGAGAAAGACTAAAGTGAAAGAAAAAAAAACAGAATGAATTGCATTGCTTCTTAGAACAGCATCAAAGCATCTTATCTTGGAATAATTAAAAAGAGGATAATACTAAAAGGGAATGTCACTCTGTCATACACATGAAAAGAAG